ATCTCAGGGACTCCAAGATTTCATTAAGAGTTTCCGGGCAAGTCCAGTACTATAGACGGTAGGGGGGTTGGGATTAGTGACTGTCGGTGTTAATTTCCCACCCTAACGCCCCTATACTGTGAACATTTCCCGGAAACTTCGCCGCGCCATCTCAGAGTCCCCGAGATGGGATGAGTTAGGGGTCTAGTCTTCCCTGTCATAACATTAACTTTTCAGGTAACATTTCCGCATCCTGTGGGTAAGGCTAGCTTCTAACCCCCCCCCCCCCCATCTGCCCCCCCCCCCTTTCTCCCAAAGCTCCACATAAGTAATCTGGTAATCTGGTAATCCTAGTTTCAGCTTCATAGCAAACGGGTCACCCCACAGATGCTCCGCTCCTGTGCAACGAAAAACAAACGCAGCTCACAGTGTCACGCCATGCACTCACTCATCAGCTGGGCGACGAAACTACATCCTTCCAGTCTACAATGGAGCAAAATATGCAACGGCCACCGTCTGGCAAAAAAAAAAAACATTTGCCACGGCTTCAAAAAAAAAAAAATATTTAAAAAAAAAGGTGGCCGTGCCTAGCATCCATTTTGACCGGAAGAATTATATGAGGGTTAATAAACGGTGTATGTTGAACAGGATGATATTCCCCGCCGGTAGTTCTGCGTGCCGACTACCGCCCCAGTCCCTGAAATCAAGCAGTTCTAAACCCACCAAGCAGGATATGTTTTCGGGTTTATGAAGAATGCTTCTGCTAATTGGTTGTTCTGTATTGGTGATTCCCAAACTTGTTTGGCCTATACCCTCCTTTTTAAAATCTTCCTCAGCATTCCTTGGTGGTTTCTGTAGCGAAGTAGTCAAGCCGTTTGCCTTGCGCTCCGAAGGTCGTAAGTTCGTTCTACAACAGCGCCGTTCTGTTCACGGGTGAATTTATTACAAAAATCCATTGAGATCGTCGCCAGAGCTACGGAGTTGTGTTTTGTGCAACTTTCTAGACAAGCTGTGTTGATGAAGGTTCTGTAGCCGCAACGCTCACATTTTGTTTGTGTTTGTTATATTGTGAAGCTCGCTGATATCTACTTTTCGTTTGGTTTTATATCTTTCCATGTGGGATAAACCCGGTGCAACGAAGTCGATCCTATCGATTTTAACCTTACATTCATCATATAAAACGCCTTGATATTCACTGCTGTAGATATCACCTGCCTTCATTCATCTCTGCGATTGATCTTTTCTTTCCATTTGGTGACTCCAAGTGTTTGTAGGCCTGCCTGGATATTACAAATGGGAGAATTGACCCACTGTCCCTTAAGCATGTCTTAAAAGGTTACTAATTAATAGGTTTGCTGCTATGATAGCTCAAACCTGCAGATATTACTTCTTAGCTTCAAATTAAGACAAAAGGTGCCAACTGCCTTTATAATGGCGAATCCATTGGAAGTAGCTGTTTGTGAATTAATTTCTGCCAAAACATCTTCATTGTGTTTTTATCTGACCACGGGTTATGATTCCGCAACCCTTTGTCATCCTCTGCCCCTCCCTTTTTTTGTTTAAATGAAATCTGAGGCTGCTATTTAATCTCTGGCTTGATCTAGCGTCAAAGGGCTCGACGTGGTCTATTTTGGGCAACATTGATTCTACAGACTCAACCCGCTCTGCTAGAAGACGTATTCAAGACGTGACTCCACAAATACAGCCTGAGTCGTCCACTGTATACTGGTGATATTAACAGGTGCGCGCACACACGCACACACACACACACACACACAGACACACGCACGCACGCAGGCACACATTTTGTGAACTGGCTGTACCGGTGAAGCAGGTTAGGGCACTTGTCTACAGAGGTAAGGTAGTGTTCTAGGCGGGACCAACCGTACATGGGTTGTTTGCTGCACCACCCTGTGGTGTCAGGGTGCCCCCAGGTATAACTGTTTCCTCCACGAATAATAATAACTTCATTATTATTATTAATATCATCCTCCTAGAAGGTTGGATGGTGTTTCTAGGATGTGCCTTTTCTCCGTTTCGTTTGTCATCGAGTTCAGACGCAAGCCGAGTGGAAAAAACAGATATGTGACCTCTCATCATGCTATATACATCCCAGTGTCTTGCATCTTCCAGTGTCTTGCATCTCCCTGTGTCTTGCATCTCCCACGTCTTGTATTTCCCAGTATCTTGTATCGCCCAGTGTCTTGCATCTCCCAGTTTCTTGCATGTCCCACGTCTTGCAATTCCCAGTGTCTTGGCTCTTCCAGTGTCTTGTATCTTCCACTGTCTAGCACCTTCCAGTTTCTTGCATTCCCCAAATGTCTTACATCTGCCAGTGTATCTTGTATCTCCCAGTGTATCTTGTATCTCCCAGTGTATCTAGTATCGCCCAATGTTCCTTGTATCTCCTAGTGTATCCTGTATCTCCCAGTGTCTTGCATCTTCTAGTGCCTAGCATCTTCCTTATCTTACACTCCATTTGTCTTGCATCTCCCATTGCCTTGCATCTCCTAGTGTTTTGGCATCTCCCAGTGTCTTGCAATTCCCAGTGTATCTTACACTCCCATTGTCTTGCATCTCCCATTGTCTTGCATCGTCCAGGTCTGGATATTTTTTTTTTACAGACCTGGCTTATTTGTTTACAACCTGTTGCTTCCCTACCTCTCAGACAACTGAACTCTAAAGGACTCTGACTATAAAGGACCCTAATTATTTGCCTTGTACGGCATGTTTGTTCGATTGAAGTGAATCTACCCCCTCCCCCTACCTGGGGCCACCGTACCCACACGGGGAAACAGCCATTCATCAGGAGCCACTCTTGCAGGAATAGCTTCTATCGGATAACATTTGGGACACTGGTGGCTCATTTCAGTATGTCCACAGTATTGTGGTAGAGAGAGACAGGGGAATCAAATCCCATGGCGACACAAGTAACGGTCAGGGAGGATGTTTCTCCTCTGTAGAGCATAAAGCCTGGGCAGTATTGTAGAGACTACCTGCTGACCTTGCAGTCATGGCCGCTGGAACCCCGAAGCGCAGGTCCTCTGTTTTTTCTTAGAGGCAGTCTCCCAACCCACCCTTCTTCTACCCCCTCTCCAAGCCAGTTATTATTGTCAATGGGGGTTAGCCAGACCGCTTTAACGATCCACATAAATTCTAATTACGGACGCTTTAATAATTTCTTTTTTATGAAATATATTATTATATTTATTTGTCATGCCGCACATCATTGTTGTTGCTGTTATTATTATTCGCTCAACATAGGATTAGGCCCTTAAACCCCTTCCCCCGCCCTTTATGTTCTCTCTGTATCGCTTTGCCCGCTTGCCTGCAACCTGACCCCTCCCTCGGCCTGCCTTCTTAACTCAAATGGAAGTTACAATGGCTACGTTTAGAACCCGGCGTGCTGTAAAACTCTGTATCGTGGAGGTTAGTAAACGCGTTGCACAGTCTTTGGCGAATTAAGAGTTGGATTCTCTCTGCCAGCCGTATAGGACGTTGCAGAAACAACCCCAGTATCTTTTGGCTACGATTTTACAGGTCAATTTAAATTTCATAAGTGCGCAGTTGCCCCCTGAAGGGTCACCTATTAATATTACTGTCGAAACCAAAGTAATCGGTTTTGGATTAGGTGTAGAGCGTAGTACTGGAGTCCAATCTAGAAGAAATTGGACCCTCACCACGTAATATCCACACAAACAGCATTGGGGGCGCACAACTTCTACATCTAACCTCCACTATTGTGGGAAATGTGCTAGGAAGTGAAAGCGGCAGCTATGATGTTCACCCTGTGACCCACCAAGTGCCGAGACGTCTACAGCGATCGGATACGTCCCCACATAAACGCTGCGTCAATGGTGCACAAAGTCCTTTCGCTTACTTTGGTTTATTAGTCGGGTTAGATCTGTGGTCTCCAACATGGGGGTGTGAGGAAGTTGGGGAAAAAAGGTTGGGAGTGGGGGGCGGGGGGGGGGGGAGTGGTAAGGTTGTGTCAAAGAATTTTTTTTTTTTTTTTGTGGGCAGAATGACTACATTTGTTCTTGTAAAAATCTCTTTTAATTATAGTTTTAAAATATTATTAATACTGTTATTAAACTATTTTAACACAAAAAGCCAAGAACGGTTTTGTTTTCATGAGCACTTTGCATATTTAATGTTAAAATTCTAATTTAACGTCTGAATTTAATTATAGCTTAGGAACACATTTCTGCCCCTTTTTTATCCCATTTTGTTATGTTGTGGGGGAGGGGGGGGGGGGGTTGTGGGAGTCTTACCATGTACTCAAGGGGGCGTGACGGTACTTACCGTTTACTCAAGAGGGTTTTGGAGGTCTTGCATACTTAGAGAAGCATGGGCCTGGGAGTCTTACCATTTACTCAAGAGGGTTTTGGAGGTCTTGCATACTTAGAGAAGCATGGGTCTGGGAGTCTTACCATTTACTCAAGGGGGTATGGGCCAGGGGTCTTGCTATAATGTACTCAAAGGAGGCGTGGGGGGGGGGGGGGGGTCTTCTCCATGTACTCAAGGCTGGAGCGGGCGGGGGCGGGGGGGGGGGGGGTCTTCTCCATGTACTCAAGGCTGGGGCAGGCCGACGGGGGGCAACATGAAAAAGGTTGGAAGTTGAAGACCACTGGGTTAGAGTCAATCTCTTTTATTTTTAAAATCGCGTTTACTTTTCATCGTTACCCACACAGGACTGCAGGTTGCACTGGACTATTGTGGCCGTTAGAGCGCCCCTGTTGAACATTGTTTAGAAGTTGAACAAGTTATCTCGAACTTGCCCTGTTGGTCTTCCATCCAGATTGATAATTATTTTTTTATATTAGAGTGTCATACCTATATGTGTTTGCCCGAATGGGAAATTGAACACACGTACAGTGAACCTTTTATCATGCCTGTTCTTTCACAGTTATGTATTTCAAATTGTATTATTCTCTTTTTATTTCCTTTCTAGTTAACCCATCTACGGCCTCAAAATTTTCTACTCAAGCGCCGACGCTCGGGACTCGTATCGCTCCAAAATGATGATGATGGAGCCAGATATGAAGTCTCCTATATTGCATCAGCCATTGTCAGCGCAGCTGCCAGCTGTGTCTGGGTCACAAGTTCATCAGACCCATCACTCCTTGCACCAGCAGCAAACGTCTCCACGACCAGGGTCCGGCGGGCACCCGGAGTTGACCCAGATCAACCACAGCCAAGGTGGCAACTCTAACAGCGGCAGCCCGACCAATAACAACTCAGCGAATTCTAAAAACAACATGGATCCCAGTCGGGTGAAGCGACCAATGAACGCCTTTATGGTGTGGTCACGTGGACAACGAAGGAAGATGGCGCAGGAGAATCCTAAGATGCATAATTCTGAAATAAGCAAGAGGCTCGGAGCAGAATGGAAGCTGCTTAGCGAGGGCGAGAAACGACCTTTCATCGACGAGGCTAAACGACTTCGGGCAATTCACATGAAAGAGCATCCAGACTACAAATACAGACCACGCAGGAAGACGAAGACTCTGATGAAGAAGGACAAGTACGCTCTTCCAGGCATGCCAAATCCAGCCATGGGCCAAGTGGGAAGAGACCCCACTGGGATGTACCCAGGCCACATCAATTCTTACATGTCAAACGGTTACGCGCACATGATGGGGGATAATAGCCCATACCAGCAGATGGCTGGACATCTACAGGGGTTATCGCCCGCCCAGTACTACCAAAATTTCTCCTCTCAGTCTATGCAAAGTCCCATCAACTCTGGAAACTACATGAACGGAGCCAATAACTACAACATGAACATGGCTCAGATGGCTCCATACGCCTCCCACAATATGTCTCCGACTCCGCAGAGTCACCCCAGCACACCAGGTATCAAACGAGAAACCCACACACCCACACAAGTAGGTCAAGTTGGCGGTTTGGCAGCACACAACATTCCCAGCAAGTCCCCATACCCTGCAGCTTCCGCCACCCAGAGCGGAAATGAGATCCGCGAGTTCATATCCATGTACCTCCCCGGACAGTCGGACCACTTAATGAGCAACGACCAACAGTCTGCCTTCCTCAACGCCCAGCATAGACTTCAGCAAATGCAGCAGCATTATGCCATGAACGGCCACCACATCCCGTCGTCTCCGGACAACAACACGGTACCTCTGTCTCATATGTAACTAGCCGCAGCAGGACTAGTTCCACGGATATCCCTTTTCTGTTTCAACTATTGTAAATTTCGACTATCCACCATATGGCCTCCCGTCCACTACAGATTTGGACTGAAGTCTTCGTCACGATGTGTGTGTATAAACGTAAACAGTTGGAATAAACAATGTTGTGACGTGTTGCTTTCTAGCTGTTCGGAAGGTATACTTATGGTTCTAAACAACAAACGGAAATAAATAAAATGATATTAAATGTGTAAACAGGTTTCACCTTATAGAAATAGTTGTATGTGCATCTGTCGGCGTGTCACGCTTGAAGCTGTTACATGGGTGACATGCTGAAAATAAATTAGAGTTCCCAATTATGAAATAGGGTGTCAAATTCTTTTAGGAGGTGATGATAAAAATAACGGGACCAGGGAAGAAAGTCCCCGGAGTCACCTCAATGCCATATTGTCCCATAGGAACCTCTTTGTATTTCCTTCTTATCCAGTAACAAGCTGTGGGTAGTCTGTAACTCAGTGTGATACCCCACTATCATCGTATCGGCAAAGAAAGACTTCACGCTATGAAAGAGGGTTTTCAGACGAGAAGATCAACTTTGAATGAACCGGATTTGATCCCATATGCCTCCGCTGTACGCCTCAGAACGACTGGCTTCTTGTGTACAGTACCACAACCACACATTCTATAGCTCAGTTAAGGCCACAAGGAATCTCCTAAAGCAACAACAAAATAGGTGGCTTCAACTGAATGGTGACAGTGCGTGAAGTTCTCGCGACTTTCACGGTGCGGGGCAAACGGTGTGACCATTTCGCTACGGAGACTAATCAATATTTTGTCAGTAACGGTAAACATTCAATAATATTACATTTGTTATTAAATATTTTTGTGGTGCAGAATATCCATCCTCTACAGACCCCATGGAGCTGCCTTGAATAATATATGTGTATACACACACACACACACATCCCAGCTGCGGGCCATGCGCCTTGCGTTGGTTTCGACAGTGGTATCAAGAAAGCCAACCGTCCAGAAAGTAATGGCAAACTACTGGACGTAAATTTGCCTAGAAAAACCACACAACAGCCAGGAGCTGTTTTGGTTGGTTCTGCAACGTCCTGTAAGGGATACGCAACTAACCTAACCTACACACACACACACACACACACACACATATATATATATATATATATATATATATATATATATATATATATATATATAAACCAGGTGGTGACCCAGTATAACTGTTATTCGGTTGACTGTGTTTTCTAGAACTAGCTCTGGTATGATTCTCATTCACGAGAATGAATGCTATAGTATGTAATTGTAGGGGTGAACAGTTAAAGTCGTGACATTGATTGTCTAGGCCAGAGACGACCATTTAGGTTTGAGAGCTATAGTTCATTTCAGAAACCACTAGTGGTCTACTTTATGTACTGTAGACTGTGTACACAGAATGGTTCTACTTTTTGTATTGTAGACATAGTCGACTGTGTAGACAGAATGGTTCTACTTTATGTACTGTAGACTGTGGAGACAGAATGGTTCTACTTTATGTACTGTAGACTGTGGAGACAGAATGTTGATACTTTATGTACTGTAGACTGTGTAGACAGAATGGTTCTACTTTTTGTACTGTAGACATAGTATACTGTGTAGACAGAATGGTTCTACTTTATGTACTGTAGACTGTGTAGACAGAATGGTTCTACTTTATGTACTGTAGACATAGTCGACTGTGTAGACAGAATGGTCTGTTCACTCGGCGGCTGGAGAGAGTCAGACAGCAAGTAATAATTAACCCACAGACAATGTCATTGATACTATGTCACGGTCAGCTAGCTGCATTTTCAGTCTCCTTATTGTCATTTTAAAATATGCCAAAGGCACAAGTGTGAATTCACACGGCTGCGGATCGGAAGGTCGTGGGTTCGCGTCCTGACGGAGCTGGATATTTTTTTCTTCAGAAATGACCTTGGCTCCCAGGCCGACTCAGACCTGTGTGTGCAAGGTATAGTCTTGGGAAATAAAGGCGGTCGGCGTGATGTTGACACATCACCCACATTTTCGGATGAAGATAGAAGAATCAACACTGCGGACTACAATTCGGGGGTGGTTACATTGCAACAAAAACAAAAGCAACAAACAACCCCCCCCCCCCCCCCCACCCCCCCAAAAAAAAAAAAACAGTAATATGTAGACATTTTGAAAGAAAGTGACACACAGAGACGGATTACTGGCACCACAGAATGTCTGTTCATATTCTTAGGCACGCCTTGAGAATTGGGAAAATGAGGTATGCCGTGATTACAACATTGGAGGGAAAGAGAGACAGATGAGGACTAAGAGACACTATTTAGTGGCATCCTAGAGGGACACACCGATCAGTCGATATGAGCTAAATGTATTTTTTTTTGAACCTCATCATAAGCATAGATTCGGACAGGAAATACCTACGTGTATCTGCATTTTCACTGTTGTTTTGGTACTGTCGTTATTGGTTGTATGTATCGCTTTAGAGGATTTGTTATGCCTACTTAAGCAACTGCATCATTGTCATAATTATCAAATGTCGCCTGCTGATGCCAGTTACGCTGATCATTTTTTTTTAAATCTTCAATAGCATTAAACAATTCAAGCTGTAAATTCTTCTTTGCGTTCACCAGTTGTAAACTCACGTTGGAAAGTTCTGGTTTTTCACCTACCTTCGGACTTTTCAGGTTGCAGAACCTGAGTGTTGTGTGCACACTCGTTTCACAGATCTGGCTTATTTGTATGCAGACGTTTTCTTACCTCTCAGGCAGATTAAGGCCGAGTTCAGTGGGTGTCCCCAATGAGTCGACTCCTACGACACGCTTACTGGGGAGGCGGTTGGTTTATTCTAGTTTTCCCCACAATGGGACGCCGGAACCGGCTGAGAGAATTGAAGCTGTATGATTGACCTGGCTAGTGAAGACATCTTTTTCAGAGGGTGCTTAGTTGTTTATGCGTCTAATTTTGTACACTTGTTTCTGCAGCGAGGTGTTGTCGTCGTTTGGAGCTGACAAGCTCGATTCCCGGCATGTTAATTATAGCTTTCGATTTCTGTGTTATTTAGTGTGGCTTCTATCTTTCTAATTATTTTTATGAGTTCCGGTCTATACATTGTTTGTTTGTTTATTATTTATAATGTTTTTATGGCTTCAGTGGTTCCCCATCTATTTATTTATATGTTTTCTGTGCTTAAACCGTTCCGTGCCACAACAAAAGGCTGCCAACGTTCTTCTTCCTGTTTCATCCTCTGTATTTACAGATGTCACAATCTATTTCAGTTTGTTTCTCCCCAAAGTGAGTCTAAAATGATGACCGCTTTTTCTGATGATCGCAAAATAGTAAAATATCGTTAACATGAATTTACTTAAGACGAACACTCGGTTAACATTAACAAATATACTAAGTGGTAAATAAAATGTAGATCAAGCATCATGTGCTCTATTCGGCAATGACAGGGTAAAGTTTGTTTTACTTTATTGACAAGTTATTAAACGACTCTCTATATGCCAGTGACGCGGTCGGAAAGGAAGAAAAGAATTACTAAAACATCTGAACATCAAGGAAGATTAGCTGATAAACAGCATCTTGTCTAGGACGTTGAAATATTTTGACCTTATCAAGCACCATGGCGGATTTAAGGTAAACAATTTGAACGCATGGTACCAAGAAGGAGGGGCAGGGACCGACCAACACAAAGATGACTCCTTGGATATGAAAGTGCTAGAGAGCTGGCGAGACACCGAGTTTCTTTTAGGCACAACATGATGTGAGCGACGTTCTGTAAGGACCTGCTACTTGATAATGATTAGGCAATCGGGCATATAATGGAAGACTCATATTGTTGCACACCATACTTTACTCAATAGGAGATGTGGTCACCACCACACCGGCTGCATTTACTTCCCGTGACAATAAAAAGCACCCATTTAGGCTTGGTCGACTTCGGAGAGCCACACAGATTTTTTTTTAATCCACTTTCACGCGTATTCAAACCCACGACCTAGGGTCCCGCGGACTAGGTCTGTTACCTTGCTTGACCTCTTACTTACATAACTAAACTGTTAGGAAATCTGAACGCCATTGGGAATTACTTCATGGATTTTTTTGAAGGCAGTCATAGAGGAAGATGAACTGAGTCGACAGTATAAGTTTATGATCAAACTGCATAGAAGCATTAATTTGTAATCAAACAGCACAGAAGTGTAAATGCGTATCCAAACAGCCTATACTTATACATTTGTAACCAAACAGCACATAAGTATACATTTGTAACCAAACAGCACATAAGTAAACGGCATATAAATATACATATATAATCAAATAGCATAGAAGTATGCCTGCCTGCTGCCTTGACTTTCTGGGACATTACCTAGTACCCATTTGAAACTGGGTGGACCGGAGATCCATGGATGTGGATTCAAACACAAAACCTTCAGTTCTAAAAGTCACGCCTAGCCATTCCTCCACCGCGTCATTTCTAAACGTCAAACGTGCAGCAGGTTAAACAAAAACGATGACTGCAGCGATTCATGGGCATGGCCTTAAAGTCATTCTGCTGCTAATAAGATAATATATATCATGGTTCTATTTGCGAGTTTTTAGATCTATTTTAGATTGAATCGAAGCTTATTGAGCCCACGTAAGAAAAGAAAATCTTTTCAATGCGAGATTCAGGAGCAGCGCTGTTTTAATCCGATTAACAATAGCCCGCCCGCTGCGAGATAATTGAATATGGGGATTTCTACGCTGTGTTGCGCCGCCGTGTTAAGTATTTTATTGTTATGTTCGGGGAGCAGAAATAAAAAATATATATATATAACTTTGCGCCAAATTACAATCAGCTCATACCTACCACATGCTCGGCATCATTATGTGCCTTGTCGGTTAATGTACGCTGGGGTGGGTTTTCTCTTCACATATTTGGCATATGATTCATTACACATCTGTTTTAGCGGCCCGACCCTTTGTTGCCT